AATTTTGGGATTGTGCTTTGCCTTTTTCCTCTATCTCATGTCTCTGTGTGGGAAAACTTAAAGCCACCGTCGGACAAAGGTTTTGAATTCATGTGCAACTACATTCTGCTTGTGTCCAACCTGTTTGCCTTCATATTAATTGGATGCTAGAAAAAAAAAAAGGCTTGCTTTAAGGCTTGTCGAACTTGTTGACTGTGTCTGAGGATTATTGAGCTGACCTTTGATTTCTTAGGGACATCCTCTTACAGAACATGCTTAATTAAATCAGAGCAAGATGTTAATTTAAGAAGTGGAGCTGGGACGTTTGAAGAGTTCACTCTGTGGGGGCTTGGGGAACAGAATGAGCAGGATTAACTGTTTGGTAAGACTTCCCTTTGGTAGAATGATTCCCTCCTGACAAATTACTTAAGAAGCGGCAGGACAGCACACTCCACTGTAGTACACCTGCCTGCTCAAGTCCTGCTGCACCACTGTGTTGTAGAGAAATGCAAATAATCCCCCAAAAGATCAAAATCACAATGCCAATGATATCTAAAGGTGCGCTACCCAAGAAGTGAATAGCAGAGATTGTGTTTGAAGCACATCCCAAAATACTGAAATGATCCTTTAAAGTTTCAGTGTGTAAGTATTAGTAGCATCTAGTGGTGAGGTTTGTGAATTGCAAACAGTGGCTCACGGTGCATTCATGTGCTCCTTGAACGGTTTTATTTCCCGAGTTGTGAAGTCGTTCTTCCGACTTCAGTGTGTGTTCATGTGCTGTTGAGTCGGAATGTGGAATTAACATGGACGCTATTACAAAGATGTGTTGGATTAGCATTATCAGAGCATATAAACAACACGCAGACATTAAGTTCACTTTACATGGACAGCAAACTAACCGTTACAACCATATTACAAAGTACATGTTTGCAAAATATGTATATGCAACATGTGATTTTGCACGAATCTGATTACATTTACCATTTCACAGTGATGGCAAAGCCAGCATGCGAGCAAACAAACACTCGTCTTCTGAAAACAATTACTAAACGCTGATCTAATCAAGTTAACCTTCCTTAGCTAGTAAACTAGTAGCAAGGTAATGTTTGATTGCTGATGCTGAGCTAAAAATTATAACCGTCCATTATAAGGCTAATGCACATAGTCATACAGTTTCCAATTCACCTTACCCACACGTGTTTGGACTTTGCGAGGATACAGGGGTATTGTACAATTTACCCGTTCATTGCCACTCATTCACAGCAAACTATTCAGTTCCTGTAAGGCAGCACACATTACTGAAAGCCAACAGGAAAAAAAGTTTTTGAGGGTGCTTTTTAAGACATGATTGTCTAAGCACAGCGATTGGGAGCAAGATGAAGTGTAACCACAACTGTTACACACTGTTAGTCCAAAGTACAACCATAGCTATGTTTGATGAACAGAGAGACAGAGTGGCCATCGGGCTGGGTCACTCTCCAAGCTACTGCAGAGCTTGTAATTGATGCTGAACTCTTTGATTTAATAAACTTTTATGATCAAGAACAGTGTCAAGCGGGTTTCCTCTCAACACATCATCGCAGCATTATTGTTCGGACACCACAATACCCAAGTGGAAATGTCTTTTAAATGTTATTTAAGTCATTATTTTGTGTAAAAACAAATAGCAGCAGGTTTGAGTGATTGTTGTAAGGGAAAGCAGCTTATCAACTCAAGTGGTTAGTTAAGATCTGTGCTTATTTTGTGTGATGCAACAGGTATCCTGTAGTTGTAGAATACATTGAGGTGATCCTCAGTGCAGTTTGACTTCGGCTTTCATGCTGCATTACTCTTTCTGTCTTTGTCTTAATTTGTCTTTTTCTGTGTGATCCATTTTGTCTACCTCTTACACTGTCTTTATCTTCCTCTCATTCTCACCATACTCGCTTCTCTTGACTCTGTTTCTCTCCACTTCACTCTCTACCCAGGCATCCCATCGCCCAACTGATCACCCTCTCATACTCGATGCCCCCCTCCCCCCCATCCAAAGACGCCCCCGGCTGCGTCCTAGTTACCCCCCCTACAGAGATAAGAGCTAATTGGAAATCCCTATACTAATTAACCTTCTCCAGGCTGAAAGGTATTTATATCCTCTGCTTTTTGATGGAGCGATAGAAAGAAAGAGAAGGGAGGGGAAGGGCAGAGGAGGAGGAGGGAAAGGGGGGGCGAGAGAGCTGAGAAATTAATGTGAACAAGTGGGTGGAATATAATGGATGTTGGTAGAAGGTGGGTACAAGTAACTGAAGGAGGAGAGTGAGGTATAGATGCCAAGGTACAAGATTTAGCCTTTTAACATAATATCAAATTATCATTTCTAATTTCTTAATTTTGTGACAGAACAATAAGCACCATGAGCAAACAACACCATTGCTCAGAAGACTGTCAGCTATCAGTTTTCTGTTCTAAATTTACATTTAGAGTTACCAGGGGGTAGAGGCCCCAATAGAAAAAGAACTTTCAACATGTTTATGTTCTTCAGGGAGAGGGAGGAGGAAAGGCAATCAACAGGGGCTTATGGGAAACTAATTTGTAGAAACATTGCTCTTGCAATACCACATCTGTGAGATACAGATTAGCAGTTTGTTTACCAATCATTTACCATGATTATGTGTGTTAGCAGCAATTATATTAAGATGTATGGTTAATTTGACATGAATATATTTTTAAAATGCTACATTTAAAAGGGGGTGGTGGTCCAGCAAGGCGCAATTTAAGAACGTGCAAGCTCTCATCCCTGGTGGATGATTTTGTAATGTGAATGCTGTGTTTTTGCTGTTTCCCTCACAAAAATATTGAAAATAAAATATACAAAATATAGAATAGTTGCAGCTGTCATAACTTTCTAGAGTTGTAAAGACCTGTCTTAGGTATTACAAACTGTTGTGCAGTGTGCTGGCATCTTATAATCCTTCTCATAATGCTTTAATTGGTTACTCCAACTGGACTTCTTGGATCCTTTATCATTTTCTCACTGGTATCTTAAACAACCCAAAGGTTTCTCTTGAACCTCTGGCCACACCCAACATCACAGCTGCATGGTATTAGAGTACCATGGTACATCATACCATATAATAGACATGATGAGGTTTTCTTTCTCCTTAAAATAACAACTTTTTAAATAACTTCATGTATCTCCAATATTTTCACTTTGAATGAACTTACAACGATTGTTGTAAGTTGACTTAAAAAAATAACATATTGAAAGCATATTTCTCTGATCTACATGACAAACATTAAGTTAAGTTTACCATCTTCATTACACAGATAAATGTATCACTCTTACTTATTCTGCCATAACGCTAATTGGTTAGGGCAAAAATAACAACCCCTCCCAAATACAAAACAGCTAATGAGAAAACAACATGATCATCAGGCTTACAACACCACGCATCATTGAGTTTATTCAGTTGATTTTGAAAGTTGTTTTCCATTTCATACAGATGGTCTTCAGTGCAAGGTAAAAAAATGTAAACAAACCTACAAGTTACCTACAAACATTTGACTTATGAATATACATACGTGTATTTTGTGACAAACATATTTTATTAAAGTAGTGTTAAAGCTCAGGTGGCGTTACGCTCCACTGTATCCCTTTATAAGACAAAGGACAGCGTGGATTTTAAGCAAGGGAGAAGATAATGAAATTTAAGAGGAGCAAGAGTGACAGACAGTGAGTCAATCAATCACTCAGTGAAACAGTGTCTAGCGCGTAGCAGAAGGTACTGTAATATATGGAGGGGGCGGGGGTGAAAGATCTCAGGAGACGAGAGAGGAGAATGGGAATCGTTTCAGGTTTCTATCATTTGCCATGCCACCTTTCTCTTCTCACCCCCCACAGCTGACGGGGGTCTGAGAAGGGTCAGGTTACCTGGCTGTCGCCCAAACCGCAAACCAGCTCCACAATGACTGCTGCATAGATTTTGGAGTACCAGTTTTCACTGATCCTCACGGTGAACATGTTATGGTTTTTGTTTCTGTTAAATTGTAGCTCCTAAGTCAACTGTCAAGTCAAGGCCAGAAGGGGTTTTGTCAATGCGCTGATGTTCAGAATTCAGTCACGTACCTTTTGATTCTGTTTGGAGCTGCCAATTATCACATTTTGCTAATGCATCTTAATACTAAATAATAAATACAGTGTGGGCACTTGCCCATGATTCATTAGCAGGACAAGCTACATGAGTCAGGATTGTATTTCACATACAGTAAATACATGATTTCCGTTTGGTGGAGAAGATGTTAAGAACAAAAAGCATCCAATGTGTCAGGAACAGGCTGCAACAACAAAACAACTCCAGGCTTTGCTTTAGGAACAGAGGCTTTATCTATCTTTTATAAATACCGGTAATGCTGCTGGCCAAAACTGGTTAGCCAAAGTGTTTCAGTGGGTCAGGCTGATGCCAAGGATTGGTTGTGTCTGGTTCAGATGTAAAGTGTAAGTTTGATTGTGCACTGCTATGCAGTCTGAAATATTGCAGCTCCAGAGGCCAGTTGTGAGGTCTGAAGACAAAAGCAGCTGAGAAGCAATTGTCTACAGTGAAGTGCACCACACACTGAGGTCTCTTCTGCTAATACTGAGTTTGTTGGCTATATTATATTGCAAAACACTGACAGATGGCCTGGTAAGCAGGTAGTTTCAGCCAAGCAAAATGTTTTGGGAAATAGTGTATTTCCCAAAACATAAAAGTTGAGGGTATAAAAAGTTAATTACTAGTAGAAAACATTCAACAAAGCTCAGACACTTTAAGGTGCATGTACAAACGGAGAAGGGGAAAATGGGGTTAATCAAACCAATAATCCTTGTATCTTGTTGGGAGATCAATTTGAAGAAACAAGGATGATTTGCAGCTCTCCAGGATCTAGACATACTGTATAGCACTAACTTGGACCCACTGAATTTGACCACATGACTGAAGGTTCCTGTCTGCATTCAATTACACAAACATTATATCTTATCTTTACATAAAGTTTTGTTTGTTTTTCAGTTGAAGAGCCCGAGCTTCACTCGTCTCCATGCGCCCTGGCCGGTACTATGTCGAGAGGCTGAATTTCTCAAGATTAAAGTCCCCACCAAGACGGTGAGCTCTCAGTACCAAGTTATGTCTTTTTTAAGCAGTCAGTGGAAACAAACATTATGTTTCTGGGTCCATCTACAGTTGTTGTTATTTCTGAGGTCAAGATAGACAGCAAAGTAACAATGCAGTTACAGTAGAATTTGATAGAAAAAATGTGTCAGCATTCTAAAACATATTTGGTAAATGTAAGATTTTAGTGTTTAGTTAATCATCCCTATACTGATATTTATACTAATAATGTAGTCGGGTCTCATTTCTACAGGCCTGCTCAATCCTTGAAAAGTATAGTTTCTTCAGACCTTTAAGGCACTTTGAACATCTCTGTCCAACATGTGAAATAAGTTGACTAATTCTGTGTTGTGTGCTTCATCAGAGTTATGAACTTAAAGAGGAAAGTGGGTTCGGGTCCAGCGTGAGCTCATTCTGGAGGAAACTGAACCACCCTTTCCAGCCCAAAGTACATCAGGAGCACGGGCGCATCAAATTTCTCTCACACTGCTTCTCTAGGGACAAACTCCACCAGTGAGACACACACCACACACTAACACTATGTAACTTTTGAAAGACCGGCACATTATTTCTCTTAAAAACATGTTAAAGCCTTACATGGTCTGGTAACAGTAGTTGATGTGGCTAATGTTGGCAAAGGTACGTTATATATTGTTCTGTAACTGACAAATCATTTTGCTGACTTTAGGACTCTTTTCTCCTTATGCTAATGATGCACTGCATTTAACATCATCATGCAGCCATCTTGTGGCCATGCAGCCGCTATTTAGCAAATGTTACAAAGGCTCATTTGAAAGAAAATAGAGATTTTTGAATGATTGCACTCTTGGTCAACATACTGTACATCTACCAAGTGATAAGAACAGAATTTCATGTCCCTGGTTTATTGTTGCAGTGATAGTAAGAAATCAGTATTATTTGAAAAAATTAGATCCAATAACATCTGAATGAAAAGATGTCTTATGATATGTGGCTTAGACTGGTTGTTTTGGACTTGGTTTTAAATAATATGAACAAAGTTTTATAGTATATCCCTTACCCTTTTAAGTTAAATCCTTATATGCACTACGTATAAGTATAAATCATCAGACCCAGTGATCTATTGGGCAGACGCATCACATTTTGGTGATCTGATCAATTAACAGGACAGGAAGGTTCCATGTGATACACTATAATAATATATGGATTTAAAGATGGTCGCACAGAAAAAGCCCACATTAGTATGCATAACGTTTTTTATTCATCGGTTGTGTTTTTGTTTTTTTCAGGTATAACATCAAATGTAAAGACACATTCTTTGACAATGCCACAAGGGCCCGAATAGTGAGTATACATTCATAATCAAATTTGTTTTTGCCTCATGTGGTTTGTATGTCCAGTCTAATATTCTTACATCTTTGTTAGGTGTATGAGATCCTGAGACGGACGGTGTGTGTACGGACATGTCAAACCATAGGTGAGGATAAAAAACTCTTCATAGGTAAAACTATGTGTGCTTGTGTGTGTCTGGTAGGAGTTTCCCAAACATATGCAGCCTTTTTCAGCCCTATGCATTCATGTTGACATGTACACTTTGACTTGGTCAGTGTTTAAGTGAATGACGTTAGGTGGAGCCATTCTGACTCTAATATGCTTGCTGCTGGCGTAAGCATCTGACACATGGTCAATGATTTTTCCATTATGTTCCTAGTCAAAAATTGTGCACAAAATAATTGATTGCTTTAGCAATCAAAGCTGTTGGCAAGCAGCAGGAATTGTAGCAATGCAATCTGAAATCCTCCTCCCGACCCCTTGAAGTATGATGGCCGTTAGCTGGCATAGTTGGCAGCGTTGTCTAATGTTGGCGGTACGTTGTAAAAAGCACAGAGGTCTGTAGAAGAATCTACAGAAGAGGTCATGAATCACAAAACTTGTAGTGGCTGTATTGTGACGCTGTTCACTGATTCATTCTTCTTCATCCAACATCAGTTCAAAATGCAGGTTAATATGAGGTCGGAGTATTTTGAAACTTGATTGGTTTGAGAGTTTTTGCTTTAAAATCATGCCTAGAAAATTAAAATCCCAGCAACATGTTCTGTAATAGTTGAGAAAGCCACAGAAAATGATCAAAAATTCAATCAGCCCCCAGCACGTATACTGTGCTCAAGAACAAACCGTGTGTATTTTCCCATTTTAAGGTTGAGATCAGAAAGGCAAAGCAGGTGGAGTGGAACACTTGTGTAACATCTTTGGCAAAGATGGCTGTCAGTTGCAGTTCAAGGTTGTGCTGAAACTCTCAAATACAATTGGACTGTGTTGGATGGACTACAGGTGAAGTGGGAGGTGATATTGATATGCCTGCTGGGAGTTCATTGGGGAGGTGAAGTGAAGTGGAGTGCAGTAGACGCAAACAATGATTGGATAATTGCATGAGATCAACATCTTTTTAACCCTAATTTGTTTGTTTGGGCGTTGTAGCAACAACCTGTTCCCACCAGGCTGCTCCTAGAAACTGGCTTCGCTCATTAACACCTCCTTCAACTGCAGTTGTCCACAGGGACAACTGGCAATTAAAATCCAGGCTTACCTCAGCAGCGGTGTCAGTTGTTTATGACATTTGTAAGCAAAATTTTACAAAGTCTATTGAGATGGCAACAACAGCTACAAACGCCTCCAAATATCTAAGAAACACAAAAAAGATAGTGTCAATAAGACTTGAAATAAAGGTCTACCGCTGTCTGTAAGAGACAAATAAACCCCTATGGGGATTTACGAAATGAACTGGAATACATTCAGCACACTATCTGTAGCTAACAGCTGCCTATGCATTTATGACACCCATCAGTCCCATATAGAATGTGAGCTGACACCCGTTTCATTTCCAGTGTCCACCGTATGTCTGTTTGGCTTCCTCATCATAGCAGAAGGTCTCAGCCAGCGGGTGCTGATGGAGCTGCAGGGGGAAAAGGGAGAGAAATTAGAGTTGCATCTCGTTAACCTCGATTTCCTCTTTCCTCTTGATTATTGGTGTATACACTTTGTCACAAACATACACTCACCCACGTACCCCCCCCCCACACACACAGCCCACTCCCTGTGTCTCTGTTGCCCTCCTCCATCTCCTCTACAAGTGGGTCATACTTCCTGGGTCAGGCTGAGATTGAAACAGGGGCCTCTGCGAGTTGTGGTTGTTTCTAACTGGTTAAGTGGGTGTGTTGGTCGTGAGTTTCACAGCTAATCACTACATAGTTCCCAGTACCCTGATAATTAACTGATTAATTACTTTGATGACAGAGTCAGTTGTGTGTGCAGGTCATGTGGTGTGTCATACTAAAAGTTGCACTGCATACTGCAGATACAGCTAGTGTGCAAAGGAGACTGTTTAAAACATGGCAAATCTTAGCCCCCATGGCCAGTGTGAATACAGGGACAATTGCTATGTTCAGTTTTCATATAGAATGGATAAGGAAGTGGAACACAATTTATGACATTTAGAGTGTAATGGTTTTGACATTGGTATGGTGTGAAGAGGAATTTCATCTTCAGGAAACAATAAAATATCAAACCAACCGTGTGCAGCACTAGATTTAAGAGACAGACGGTGCTCTTTTTTTAATGGCTACCACTTTATTTCACGCCACATCTTGGAGCCATTTGGTGGATACTCACTCCTTAATACCAGTGACTCAACTATTACTTCACCAGCTGCTCAGATGCCTGGTTTAAAACTCCAATCTTCAGTCAAAGAAGTCCCGCCCTACTGAAGTTTTGAAGACAAATAAAGGTTAAACTATCAATACTTATCTCCAGTGGATACAGTACATGATTTACATAAAAGGGGATGATTTGGATGACAGAGCAGGAGGAAAGGAAAGCACCTCATTCAAACAATCCCTTGGGTTTTATGTCTCTGCTGTCTCTCTCTCTTTTCCAGGAATCAGCACATTGATAGCTAAAGGCGTGTATGATTCTGCCTTCCCGCTTCATGATGTAAGTGTGAGGTTTGGAATACCCACTAGACGTCCATTGGTTTCAATTAAATTCATTGTGATGTTCAACTTGCAGAGAATGGAAACTTGCTTGAAAAAGGAATCACAATCAATGCTTTGTTGGATCTCATTTTTTGTCGACCTTGTATCATATTTTTGTGACCCAAGAGCTAGCGGGTACAGGGGCATTTGTCCATGTAGCTGTGTGAATGAAAATGAAAATGAAAGATAAGACCAAATTCAAATTTTCAGCAGCTGGCGCTAATATTCTCAAATGTTGAAGCTATCTAAAAGCATATTGAAAGCACGAACAAGGAAAGTGACAAAATTGTTCTGAAAAGAGGTAAGGAAAGTAAACATGAGTTCCAATTAAGATGCTAAAACCAGTTTGGTACTTTTGGTTTTCAGAACATTTCTTATGACACTCTGTGCTGCCTGCTAGACAGATTTGAATGTTGAATGATTAGTTTTAAGTGTAGTTGGACAGTTTGTGTTTGATTTTATTGAATGTATTTTTGCAGCTTATATGTGTGTGTTAATGTGTGTATTTCTAAATGTTTGAGTGAGTGAATGAATGATCCCCATTACAGATCTCTGTGTGTTTGCATGCCCTGGTGCCCTCATGCGGTTCACCCTCTCTCTTTTCTCTCCTTAGGGTGACTATAAGGTCATCGGACACCTTGAGGAGAGGAGTGACAGACAGGTAGGCCAACTCCTCTTTCATTTCTCTCTCCCTCTGTTCTCTCTTCTTCCATCTGCTTCCCTCCCTCCTCCTCTCTATTTGTCTGTCCCATGAAAAACTGCAAAAAGTGAGCTACTGTAGACTACCACTTCTCTAGGGCTTCAGAAAGTGACCTATGCTATCAAAAAGGGAAATTGTCTGTCATCTGAAAGTCTACTGTACAACACCTTTAAACTTGCAACAGCTGAAAAGCAAGAACAACTTTTCTAAACAATAGTTTCGTCTATGTAATTTCCATCTCATATCCTTTCTTCTTTTCTTCTTTGAGACTGTTCTTCCATCCCATCTGCCTAACACTGTCACAGATTGGAGTTTAAGTTCAGTCAATATTTCTCAGAGGCAGAGCTGTGCTCAAGGCAGAAAGACAACATTCATTGACTGACATGAATGACAAACAAACAAAGACCCTTTTTTTGGAGTCAGCAAACAACAGCAAGCAACAAACTCTGGTCAAAATAGAAATGAAATATACAGATAGCAACTTCTCCATTCAATCATGTTCCTGGCATTTATGTTAAACCAATCAACCAGTCAAACTGCAGTTCTATGGCTTCATCCACTGAGGTTTAACTTGACCGATCAGATGATTTCTGCCTCCAGATCAGCTCTGGTTTTGAGGAGTGTTTGTTTCAAACATAGAACACGACAACATACGCCCATGCTGACTCTCTTTCCCGTCTGTTTTCAGCTCCTGCATGAAGAGTGGGCCAGATACTCAGCCTTCTACAAGTACCAGCCCATTGATCTGGTCAGGTAATGTGACCACAGCAGCAAACTGGGGGATATTTTTTTATGTGGGATGTTTTTGTTTCATGTAATTTGCAACTAAAGATAACTGTCATAGACATCTTACATATGATTAGCGAAAGACACACTAGGTTTCTGTAGTTCACTAACAGACTTGTTATTTGGCAGGATTTTATCTTTAAATGAATGCACCACAGCAAATGAAGCACCACAAAAACACCACAATCTTAAATGACAATATTCACATGCCCGTATGGACTTTGATACAGTTATTAGTCACTTTAATCATGCCTCTTATCCAATCTGGCCGGGAAGTGATCCCTTTCTAGCTCAACCTCATTGTGAGTGTGGCAAAATCCACAGTCCTTGCTTTGTGCGAAAATGAATCAATTTGAAATGTGAAGCTAATATGAGGCTTAAGCAGTCTGAGTTAGCCATATACTGGGCATTACTGGGTAATGTCCCAGTGTTGTAGTCTTTTAAGAACGGAATTTCCTCTTTGGGATTTACTCTTTCCCTTTATAGCTTATTACGACCATTACCTTTCAGTGTATAATAGATTATTCTTTCATTGACTTAAAGTTGGTTGGTCTTTAAGGTTAGAGTTAATGTTTGGTGCAGTAGAGCTGCTACACAAACCTGAAAGAAAGTGCTTTGTAAATGCTCAGTGTAATGAATGAAAGCTCTAAATAAAACATCAACACAGGCCTTATTCTCTTTTAGCTATATATTTTTAAGCATTCTCACACATGTGTTGCATGCTGCTTAATACTTCACAGTCTGCTCTGGCATGACCATGAACTCCTTGACCTCTAACCCCACAGAAAGTACTTCGGGGAGAAGATTGGCCTGTACTTTGCATGGCTCGGTGTTTACACTCAGCTGCTGATACCAGCCTCCATAGTGGGAATCACTGTGTTTGGGTACGGCGTGGCGACAGTGGATACCAATATACCCAGGTACCACAGCACATTCATGCATGCAAGAAAACTATTGTGAAGTCCCACACATTTCAGTTGAATTAAGGTACAAAAGATGAACAAATCCCATTGAAACTTGACATGTTTTGATGTCAGTTCACTGCAATCAAAATAATACTAGTCTGTAATAATAAAATACTAACATTTAAAGGATGCAGAAAATTAGGATTTCTCCTTACCACAGTTTAAATGTATGCACACATACCCGTACCCACACACTAGACAGGGATTGCCCAGATACCTGCTGTATCTGGCTTTAGTCAGGGGTGTGTGGGAGGAACACAGAAGGTACGGCTGGCAGTGTGAGTGTGTCATGAAGCAAAAGGTTGATAATTCCACCTACACTGACTATGAATAGGGTCAAAGCAGAGAAGCTTGTATTGTGATTTGGTGTTCCATTCATTTCTCATGGTTAAATGTAACAGACACGATGATCTCTGGGTCTTTTTACAGGGACAGAATCCACAGACCTCAAAGCAAAACTTTAGTTAATTATATGGTGCTTTTCCATTACCAGTACCTACTCAACTCGACTCGACTCGACTCGATTGTACTCGGTTTGGCCGTGCTCCGTTTTCCATTGCAGATAGTACCCAGAGATACCCCTCAATGTAGCTGGTTGTCATAGCAACGCCACACACAACTGCCGCGACGCAATTTTCAATGTGACACACACACCGGCGGTCCACACAGCTGTCTCTTTATTTAAGTTAAAACGTTTCAACATTCCTCAGAATGTAAAGACAGATAAGCGGTATGAAAACCTTCCAGCTGTAGCGGTCTGTGTGACGGCGGGAGCAGAGGGCTCTGTGAGCGGGCGGCTGGCCGGCTCAGGCTTCCCCCGCTGTCACTTCCAGAGCTCCCGAAAACTTTCAAGCGCATTTTTGTTCCGCCATCACTTTTCATAAAACTGTCAATATTCGAAATCTACACAGCTGATTTCTCACCTGTGATGAAATTACATACGAAAACTGTAAAATATAAAACTTTGTGTTGCTGGCCTCCATCTGGCACATGCAATGATGATGCAGTTAATAGTGACGATTCTCTCTGACCAATCAGTAGTCTGCTGTGTTTTCACGTCACATTTTAGTATCGCCTCAGCTCGCTTGGAACCTCGACGGAGGTGATATGAAAAAAGTGCCTGTTAGCAGGTACAGGTACAATTTGTCCACAATGGAAAAATAATCAAAGTCGAGTCGAGCCGAGTCGAGCTGGTACTGTGCAGTGGAAAAGGGGCTTTAGTGGCTTGCATTTAATACTTCAACTTCACTTCTAAAATGTCATTGCATTAATGTTGTTAGATATAGGTGCTCTGTGTCTTAAGTCTTGATAATCTTCCCCCTCAGTCAGGAGATGTGTGACGAGAGTCTCAATTTCACCATGTGTCCTCTCTGTGACGGAGCCTGTGACTTCTGGCATCTCAGCTCCGCCTGTGGCACCGCCAGAGCTTCACACCTCTTCGACAACCCCGCCACCGTCTTCTTTGCCGTCTTCATGTCTCTGTGGGGTGAGGTTACGTGCGTGTGAGAGTTCATATGTGTGTGTGTGTGTGTGTGAGCAGGTGGGCTGAACATGAAGCTGCTCATTCATATCTTATGAACCCCTTCACCTCAAGAGCAAGCCTTGCTGAGAGCAACATGCTAAAATTTAAAAAGGTTAACAAATGCAGAAAAACAGAGGAAAAAAGAAAGCTGATGAATTCAAACATTGGATTTGCAGCACAAACACTCAGTTGTCTAAATGTTAATTGTGTTTTCATATACTCTGATGCATAATCAGCTTATTTGCATTTTGTGTCATTTTCTCTTCTGTCTTTATTACCTAAAGCATGTGATGCCACAAGAGGATCTTTTTTTCCTGTAAAGTGGCTCTTACAGCAGGATATAGAACAGCTTTTGAATTTGTGCAGACAAAAAGAAATCCTCCTGAAAATCAGTTTAAACTATTTTGATGTGGGCATTTTTGTGGGCATTTTTTAACCCTTGAAACAGCAGTTTGATAAAAAAATGTTTTACTTTTATTTTGAGGTTTACTTACCAGCTTTTTCCTGGGCTTTCAACCAGAGATACCCAGTTACTAGCTTTTTTCGACTATGAGGTGCAGTTGGAAGCTCTATGAGAGCTGGTAACTTCATGGTGCAGTTTTATACAACTTTGAGTAAATAATGTTGTTGGGCAGTGGAAATATGAAAATTCTGCTCTGGATGTATTGCAGCCACTAGAGGTTGAGTCCAATACTAGCCTGTTCATGTGCTGAAATTATGAAATTATTCATTTTGATCAGCAGGCAGATCAGTGATCACCTGATCAATGCCAAACCATAAAAAAAAATGCATCAACCAGATCGCAACATTATTTGACTTTCTTGTGTGTTTATGTAGCGGTGCTGTTCCTGGAGCAGTGGAAACGTCGTCAGATCAGTTTGAGCTTCAGTTGGGATCTGACAGGCATTGAGGAAGACGAGGTATATGCAGTATACATGTACACACACAGACACACACACACACGAATACTCACACACTAATAAAAATGTACACACTTGAACTTTGGAAACCTCCATATATAAGTTTTTTATAGTGACAATATTTGTGAGCCTTCAGTACCAACATTTTGCCAAAGTCTATTGAGATGATTTATTCCTAAGTTACAATATCAGCGTTTGGCAACTACAATATGTTTAAGGTAACTGGTAATATTCAAGGCAACGATTGTCGTCATGGCTTTGAGCTGAAAGCCAGACATGCTGTACTCTTTCCCTCTGACCACATAAAGGACAAACCACTTCCTGCATTTGCACTGAACACTGGCATTAAACATTAAAGATCCGTCGAATATGAACTGGTTTAAAATGTACATAATGCAACATGCACGTGCACAGCACAGTCATACGCACATGTACATAGAGAAAACACACAGACACACCTGAGCATCACTCACACATACAAGCATGTAAATGCTAAACACACATTTGACTCTTTCCCCTATTTTTCCCTCAGGAACATCCCAGGCCAAAATATGAGACCATCCTCCTTCAGAAGAGACAGAGGAAGCAGAAATCTAAGAAGAAGAAGAAAAAGAATGAGGTAGGGAAGATTAGATTTACAGTAAGTGCTTAGGACCACGTTTCCCATAAAGCCTGTTTACCTAATTCACGAGTGCGTGTTTGCGTAATACAATATGAAGACCTATGAATTCCATTCTCTTAGCTGGACCTGACTCTCACCCATACTAGTGTAATACAGTAAAACTAAATTATTTCATAACATGTACCACATACGGCACATTTTGAAATATACATAACATCAGGTTTGAAAATGCACACTATATTTTCCCATCATGGCATCATACATTCTGTGGGGAAAGACCAGTGTGATCACTTGGCTGTTCCACCTGGCTCAGTCTTCCCTTTGGAATCAGATGCTTTGTGAATTTCCAGATGGATCCTGATAGTTTGGTCTCCAAAGTGTGCAGCAGACATTAGAGTGATAATCTAATGATTGGGAACGATCTAGATTCCCTCTGTAAATTGGGTCAATCACATTGAGTCCTGTTGGCCCACATACACTTTGCTGCGGCGACAGATGGCTTCTTGCCACAGACAGAGTGAGGCAGGAACAAATGCACATGATGCAGGACCACTGACACACCATTGCAAAACCTGATCTGAGCATAAAAGCAAGAATCCTGAAGGATCCAATTGACGTTTCTTTTGTTGTAATGAAAGTGTGAACATACGCCATCTGCTGGTTGTGTGTCAAGAAAAAGAAACAGTTTGACTGGCTTTGCGTTAGGGGGTTCTTTGCCTTGATGTTATCTATTACAGTTGTGGAAGTCATAAATAATAAATACGAATAAAAGAAATAAGAATCAGAGTGTGACTGTGGCGTGGTCTACACAAAGACATATCTATATCTAGAATATATATTTATAACCAGATACCCTGGCCTTTTACGTTTTTTACCCTCTCTATTATGGCTGCAATACAGTGTTAAACTAATTAGTTAGTTTATAGTTTATAGCTGCTAATGGCTTAGTTGCTGACATTAGTGATTATGAATACAATAATATTATTGACTATATTATAATAAACAAGATTCAGACAGGAGGGTCTGTACAGTGGACAGGAAATGGCATAATGATGATTGTTCATATGTTTTTGTGTGATTATGTACGATTGTGGTTTGTGTGTGTGTGTGTGTGTGTGTGTGTGTGTGTGTGTGTGTGTAACCTGTCCCTCTGTCTTGCAGCCAGAGAAGCAGGAGGACGGGACAGTGACAGGGAAGGACAGATGGAGACAAAAATTACTGTCTGCCATGGCTGCAGGAATACCGGTAAACCCTCCTCTCCTCCCCTTGCCTTCCTCCTCATCTCGCCTTCCTTTTCCTCTTTTGCTTCCTCTTCCTCCTCTCCTTCCCATTTTTTCCTCCCCTGTACTCTCCTCACTTCCGTCTCCTTTCACCTTCCTTTTCATCTTTCACTTCCTTTTCCTCCTCTCCTTCCCCTTTTTTCCCTCTCCTATCCTCTTTTTTCCTTTCCTGCAGGCTGCTGCCTATCTGTTCTTCTCTTCCTGTCCCATCCTCTGGCTGCTACAGTCTCAACTCTGCAGGTATTTGCTTGTGCATCTTTCTGTGCATCTGATGGTCACAACTACTAACTGAGCTTTAATAATCTTGTCTCTTTGTGTGGGACTAAAACATGACAGAACAGTTTTTTCCAGCTTCCATTCCAAATACAGTTGTTATGAACAAAAACAGGGGCAGTGTGTCTGGAAACCTCCAGCCAGCCTTTTGTTCCAAAATCCAGAAATTTTACCATTGTAAAGTCAAGTAACCATTTAGTCACTGAGCTTTTTTAAGCCTGCTTGTAGTTAATGACACGTTTAAGAAGGACTAGATGGACAGACCAGAAGACAGACAGCTGATGCTAATGAGAGATTATCGGCCTCTGTGGTTCCTGTTTCAGGATAATGTGTTAGTGTGTGTGGGAGAAACATTCACACAAACAAAAACACATACACTTGTCTTAAACACACTGCTAAAGACTGACAGAGTGCCGGCATTAACTGATATTAAAGGATTATCCTGGAGATTTTTTGTTGTCAGCCATAGAGGAACATTGTTGTACTAAAACTATTAAAAACACACCATTGAGCCACATGACATTAAGTGACATGATCCTTCATTACCACGAACACAGTGTAATTCTATTTTGAGCCTTTAAATACCTACTAGTAACCAAATACGTATTAATCTGTTGGCTAAAAATTACAGTGCCCAGCTGTTTTTAGGAAGTTACTGAGCTTTTCAAAAAATTTTAATATATATTTGGACGTGCTGTTAACAATTTCAGGAAATTACACAGCAGGCATTTTGACAAAACCTGCCAAAAACACAGGCGCTATTGATAACATTAGTAACAGCTTACTGTGGTTGCTGGCTCACTTATATGATTTAGTGGAACACCTAAATGGCACAGAGTTGTCATTAATTAATGTTATTAGTTATATCTGTGCATTTCCTGCAATGAAAGTTCTATATTTCTGCTGTGAAAAATATTTTGAATGCTGTAACTATATTTCTGCACCTGCTTGGCAACATTGTTTCTCAACTTTCAAACCAATTCTTTGGCAACAACTGTCAAACCAATTTTTTGTAGAACTAAATTCCAAAAAGACATCAAAAGAGACAAGGAGAAAAAGACAATGAGAAAGACATACAAATAAACAGAGAGAGACTTGGAGAAGTAGGGAGATGGAGAGAAACAGAGGGAGGGCGGCTGAGTGGGAGTGAGGCATGCTGGGCAGGAAGCCAGGGGTAAGATTAGTGAACGTCACTATGGCGACACAAATCTCTCTCTCTCTCTCTCTCTCTCTTTCTCTCTCTCTCTCACTCACTCACTCACTCGCTCACTCACTCACTCACTTACACACGAACCATTTGATTTCTTACCTGGGGCACTGAAATGTGCTGTAAGATCAAATCTAGAAATATATTTTCAAAACACTACTGCAGTGGTTATTTGTCTTTAGTTGTTATTTGTTTCTAAGACATTCTACAGTCAATGGACCGAACACAGCTAATGTATAGTGATATAATAGACTTGTCTATATTTATTCATGAGTACTCAATGTACAAAACATATTGCATTCATTTGGCAATTTGGAACTTTGAACGTGTGATCAAATGATGTGGATGTTGTTCTTTTTACTTTTTTGTTACCTTCTCATTTAAGCCATGAAGCCATGTCTGTTCCTCAGTGACGGACAGTTCTCTGTCAAGAGATGTCATATTTGTGTATTTGTTCTCTCAAAAATATATTTATCTAACAGTTAAAGACAGCAGAAAACACATGAGCAGATCTTGTACATTGTCACGGCAGCAGCTTACAGTATGTAAGAATGAACGTCACTCAATGACTATGTGAAGTTTCCAAATGGTTATTCACCCAGAGATTTAGCAACTATACAACCAAGAGCTTTATTTGCTTCCATTTCTGAAATGGCTGATTATTATTCAACGATTCTGTCAAGATCATAACAGCAATGAACCACATGAGAGCTCAAAAGTCTATGCTGATATGAATTTTAATTATAAACAGTGAAGCACTTGTGTGTATTTGTGTGTGTTGGTATTTTTGGAATCATACTGGCATGTATTCAGCTGGATCCAAAATCACTCCCTAATTGACTACTCCCTATGTAATAGATATTCAGAAGTTTATAGTGTTGATTAAGAAACAACAAAAAGGTCAACAGGCTTTCGTGGTGTTGTGACAGGCAATAATCCAATAAACAGAAATCCAAAATAAATCAAACAAAAACATATCCAAAATAAATCCAACAACGATCCAGACAAAAATCAAAACCAAGTATGCAGTCTATACAAACACCAAGCAGCCAAATCCAAGAGACAAAGCTAATAACAAAGTCCATAAATCTAAAAAGAAGTCATGGAAAACTCGAATGAAACACTGGGGACCGTGACTCTTGGCAAGATACAAAGACGAAATCCAACACTAAACTATGGGAAGACACAGGCTTAAATACAAAAGAGGGAGGTGATTTACAATACACTAGCAAAACCAAACAGGGAGGAGCAAACAATCATGCAAGTAGGAGAACCAAAAGAGCAGGAATTGAAGTGAACACAAACACAAGAGGAAGGGCGCAGAAAAACAGATGTAGTTTAAGTAGCCATCGAGTGACTCCACCAGTGACTTTGTAGCTAACATGCTAATGGAGGTGCTTGGGCTACAGGATAAACAAGGATTGACAGAGCTCACCGTGTACTACGCACTCTCAGCATCTGATCTCGGTATACATCACGACCATGCCCTGGAGGAGATATTATGCAAGGTTACAGCCGCAAGCCAACTCATGTTCCAGGGAGGTTTTCTGGGCCTGCCATCTGCAGTGGTCAAGCAAAGAGCCCTCCGAGGCAAGACAGCTTCTACACTGCAAACCAGGTGTCAGATGTGAGTTGTTGTACAAGGAGACTCTGCTCATCAGGCTCAGAAGCAGTATTTAGTGACCCCAATGACGCCTGCAGTTCATTCAGCGCAAGTTTGGGCACATTTCAAAAGAATGAGAATAAAACAATAAAGGAAGGTATTTAAAGTTGAATAATTTGAAGTATATGACTGTAAAATGAAACAACCTTACGGCTGCTAATGATCTGACAGTGCACGTTAGGTACAGCTGCCTCTATGACAACAATGAAACACAGGCTCATATAGCTTCCATCATGTTTCAACATAAAACCAATTAACTAGGTCAGTGCTTAGTTACTAACTTCCACTCACTAGCTGAGCTACACATGAACAATGACAGCCGTTGGATTGGATATCTTCCACCTGGATGGAGCTACCCTCCAAGAAGTGAGAAAGAAACAGAAACTGCAAATGCATCAGGGATTTTCTTTTTTTTGTGACAACAAAAGGAACAGGGAAATATGGTAAAACAAGAAATAGTAATGGATTCACCTATTTGTAAAAGTAACTAAGTAACTGATCATTTGAATTTACAAAACTAATGTGTTACGTTACTCGTTACACAAAAAAGTATCGGAGTACTCTAACGCGTTACATTATACCACTTAAACTGAATCTGAATCCTGTCTAAAAGTCCATTTCCAGCACTAAAAAGATGAGAGCTATGAAGCCTGAACTCTCCCTCTACAAAAAGCAATAAAACACGCATCGGACAAAGAACTGGGCGATATTTGGAGACATCTGGGATGACAGTCTACAAAATGTACACACTTGTTCTATAAATTTCAGACAATGCATAATTTAATTGAAGATGCTGCATTGGCTGCATTATTCAAAAAGTCTAGCATTTTTCCTGAAGTATCACTACAGTATAATAAGTGCAATTATTTTAAGGGCACCTTTATTCACAGCTTGGCTTGCTGTCCAGCTTACCAAATATTGCCTGTGAAGATTCACAGTCATCCAGGTCATAGTTATCCAAGGACAAAAGGACATTTATTTTCTTATAATATTGGGATATATGTATATATGTCAAGGAGTGACAGCCTGGCTACCCTTCCTGACTACATACTGTAACTCTCCCCACCAAACCCCACATGGACCAGAAGCCGAAAGCTGCTTGAGTTGTTGCATTTCCCATTCCCCATTATTTCTAAGTATAGTTTTACATACAGTGTTTAATCTGGGCAAACCATATTATTAACCACTCAAGACATTGCCAGTAGATGTGAATGTGAGTAAGATGTGTTGTCTGCATGTGTTAGTTGTGACAGACTGATGACTGTCTGTGGTGTACCCTGCCTTTCGCCTACTGTGAGCTGGATCAGGGATGAGCTTCAGCCTGCCTCGTCCTTGGAAAGAATAAGTGGGTACAGATGATAGATGGATGGATGATACCACTAATTTGATGTGCGTGTGTAGATAATATCTTGGTCAGTGATCTTGCAACTACAGTATCCTCTTAGGGTGAAGGTTTGCACGTAGGTTTGTATGCAGTGTTGCTTGTCTGTAGCTTTATTTATTTTTTCATTAATTTAAAGGATATAGAATGTAGCACCTAGAACACAAATATTAGGCATGCTGAGATGATTTTGCTTCCTAGGTAATTTGATCAGCAAGTCATAATCTTCAAAAGTAGGTATACTGTAGGACAACCAGGGTTTGGGCACAAGGATAAAAAGATTGAGAGAGGGAGGAGGGTGAACAGAGGGAGCAAGCGAAAGAGAAATAAAGATTGGGAGTGAGTCTCTATCACGAGATGATGGCTTTGTTGGGCTTTCCTCAACGGAGGTTACAAGCTAAATATAACACCTGACCCATTTACTACTGCCCCTCTCTTCGA